GACTTATGAAATGATACATTTCAGTGAAATTGGATCACAGATCTTCTTATCATCTATTTCTTTTACAAGGTACCTTATGCTATCTACCCACTAAATTTACACAACCTTATCACTGTAATTCCATTAGACTTTTGCCAGTAAAACAGGAAAATACTCTGTTATGCTTAAAGAGAACCATTGAATTTTTAATTTTAGAGTTGGGAACTCTCTCATTCTATAGATGAACAAACTTAAGCCTGGAGAGGAAAATGAAGTCAGTCACAAAAAAAAAAAAAAAAAAAAAAAAAAAATTAAATTGAAGGTCTATTGAGGCAAGCACTGTGATTCAAGGTGAATAACATGGGCTCTGCCCTCCTATAGAGTGTGCACTAGTAGGAAACACTCACAAGGAGACAGGTGATTGGATAACTTCTTAGAAATGGCACCCGTGGAAATTTGCAATAGGTATATCTTTACTTTGTGATATCCTTGGGAGCAGATCCTGAGCTTTTTGACTCTTGCTTTGAAACTTATATCTAATGGGGTGTCCTTGGTCTCAATAACTGAGCACAGAGTGTTTGGACAGACTCTAGACAGGCCCAGCAGCTGACGCTACCTTCTTTGAACAAAGATATCCCCACAACCTGTAGAGCACTGGCACATCTTACAAGGGACCCAAGGTCTCCACTACCTCATGGAAGATGTTGGCAACATGTGTATCCACCACTGCCACCTAATGCCTCTTTTGGCTACTACAGCTCTGGCTCTACTTCCTGATGTTGAACTCTGGGTTTCTGGCCCCAGGCAAAGAGGTGTTGACTTGGTGACCCTAAGGTCCTGTTCCATCTTGAGAACCTTAGAAGACAATATTTATCTATTGAAGAATAAGAGACCTAAATGAATCCAAATCAATAAAGCTTTGATGAGGTCTTCCACAAAGCTAGAAAAAGAAAGCACACCCAGAAGACTAAAAAGCACAGAGTAAATGTAAAGAGCTTGGCAAATGGGGAGCATGGCAGGCCAGCAGCCAATCAATGAATGTGTTTCTCTCACATCAATATTTCTCTTTCTTTCCCACTCTTCCACTCTCTCTAAAAAAAAATCAATAGAAAAAATATCCTGGGTTGAGGATTTAAACATTAAATAAATAAAGTATTTTTTAAAAAGAATAAGGAAGAGAATAGAATTGTTACTATTATCTCTCAAGAGTTTTCAGTCTACACTGTAGAACTCACACTTCTCAAGGGCAGTGTATCACAGACAAATAAACCGACAAAATAAATATAATGCTTGTTCCTGGAGTATGATTTTATCTCAATGATAGCTATTAAAATGGGATTAAATACTTCCACTTCTTCAATGGTCACGTTTGAATACTTCTTATTCTTTTAGGACTGGCTTCTCTCTCTTCAGTCTTGTACCACATTTTTGCACAAGTTCCAAGAACATGGTTTCACTTGATTCTATTACAAATTATAATTGATGTTCCTAATGGAAATTTTTCTATCTGTTATTTATTTCTGTTTTGTGGGATGAACAACATTTTTCTTAGTGTATAATTTGGTGTTCTTGATCAATGTGCCAAATGTTTGTATCATTGTTATGAATCAGACAAGGTGTATCAATGCCAAATGATGATGAGAAAGAGTGTTCACTTTTCTCCCTCTCTCACATGCCCTCCCATGAAACCATCAGAATCCTGGATTTCCTGGTATTTCTAGATTCACAGACATACTCTAAGGGCTGTTTAGTAATACAGGCTTAGTGCTAGAATTTGTGGCATCTTTAAGGGTATAAAATATTTGATATGGAAATAATTTTTATTGTGGTAGAAAAGTACAAAATAAAGATTACTATTTAATTTAATGACTATGAAAATGTGCCATTTGTTTTCTTTTAATTTAGGATTTATATGAATTAAATCACACTTGAGACTAACTTTAACATCAAATTTTTCTTCCATTGTAAGAATTTCTTATTGTGAGTGATGGTTGCTAAGAAATCATAGCCAATCATAAAGTAAATGAGTTGCTCATTCACAAATATTTGGAAAGTAAAATTATAAAAATCAGTTCCAATTCTTGTGAAAAGTAAGTTTTCTATTGGATGTGGGAATACTAACATAGATTTAATATAATTTGGGGGAAGATATGACAGTTTTTAAAGGCTATGAATGTTCTTTAATTTTTTATCCAAAGAACTAAAAATATTATCAGAAACCTTTTGCCACAAACACCAAATAGTTTTCAGTTCTCAAATCTTCACATTTCTTAACACATAAAGTTTTAAAAGTTCATAAGAAATTTGTTTTCCATTTTGTTATAACCTATATTTGTTTAATTCCATTTTAATAGCTATCATTGAGATAAAATCATACTCCAGGAACAAGCATTATATTTATTTTGTCGGTTTATTTGTCTGTGATACACTGCCCTTGAGAAGTGTGAGTTCTACAGTGTAGACTGAAAACTCTTGAGAGATAATAGTAACAATTCTATTCTCTTCCTTATTCTTTTTAAAAAATACTTTATTTATTTAATGTTCAAATCCTCAACCCAGGATATTTTTTCTATTGATTTTTTTTTTTAGAGAGAGTGGAAGAGAGGGAAAGAAAGAGAAATATTGATGTGAGAGAAACACATTCATTGATTGGCTGCTGTAAGAAGCCCCAACCATGGCCCTGTCCAGGGAAGAACCTGCAACCTAGGCACATGCCCTTGACCTGAATCAAAACAGTTCTTTGGTTCATAGGTTGACACCATATTCAATGAGCCAAACTGGCTAGGGCTTATTCTTCTTTTCAGGAAGATGTTAAGAAATCATTACAGCCAAACTCGGTTTGGCTCAGTGGATAGAGCATCAGCCTGTGGAATGAAAAGTCCCAGGTTCGATTCTGATTAAGGGCATGTACCTTGATTGCAGGCACATCCCTAGGAGGGGGTGTGCAGGAGGCAGCTGATCGATGTTTCTCTCTCATCGATGTTTCTAACTCTCTATCCCTCTCTCTTCTTCTCTGTAAAAAAAAATCAATAAAATATATTTTATTGAAAAGAAAGAAATCATTACAGCCAATTATAAAGACTTCAGCTTGAGAAAAAGTTCTGAAGAGGTTGATTTTTACACTTGATCTTAGCCAAAAGGCCAAAAAGCGACTGAAGAGGCTGTTTTTTTTCTTATTGTTGTTTTTTTTTTTTTATCACATAATAACATTATGTGTCTATTGTATAATAGTCTATGTATATTTATAAGAAAATTAGAAAACATTCTCTGAGAATAATCCACATTGTTCCTAAGAATAAACTTGAAACCTTGTTCTGCAGTCTTCTGTAAAAGTTGACCCCATACCCACTTCTAGGAATTGCATTGATTTTTTCCATGTTCCTCTATTTTTTCTAAATAGTACAGAACAATCCCACCTTTAGCCACAAACCAACTAATACTTGGGGAATTAAGTCTGTGCCCCTTCACCTCAGGGCAAATTTGCTCTCAACTGATCTCCTTATAGCCAGCTGGTTTATTAACTTGAATACCTGGAATCCTGACTTTAACAATCCTCTGATTCACCCTTTCCTGGGTTTGGGGTTCATTGGAAGTCCTTCTTTGACCTCTTTGGTCAGTATAGCTCAGTTGTTTGAGCATCATCCCATGCACCAAAATGTTGCTGGGGTTGCTGGTTTAATTCCTGGTCAGATCAAACCCCTGGTATTGGTTTGATTTCTGGTGTGGGTGTCAATAGTAGGCAACCAATAAGATGTTTCTCTCTCTCTCTCTCTCTCTCTCTCTCTCTCTCTCTCTCTCTCTCTCTCTCTCTCTTTGCCTCTCTCTCTCTCTCTCTCTCTCTCTCTCTCTCTCTCTCTCTCTCTCTTCTTTCTCTCTATCTCTAATAAATTAAATGTAATTTTTCAAAGTCCATTTTTTTTTATATGTCTCCTATCTCACTGTCTCATCTCAGTGACTGAGCTCCTATTCCTTCCCCATGGATGCTACATCTCTTTTAAGAGAGGACATGGGTCTGTCTTTTTTTTTTTTTAAATCAATCTTTATTGTTCATATTATTACAAAGGTTCCTCATTTCATCCCCCCTCCACCAGGTTCCCTCCCATCCCTCCGCCCCCTCCCCATCCCCCATTGTCCTCATCCATAGGTGCACAGTTTATGTTCAGTCTCTTCCTCCCTCCCTTTCCCAGATAGTAAATCCCTTTTCAGATAGTAAATCTGTTACTTAGCATTTTCTCATATCAATAATACCTCCACATGCCCAATGATACACTTCACACAAAAGACATTTCCAAATAGGTCAACCAGCCTCATCCAGGCCCCACCCAAGGCACTCACAGATCAACACCCCAGCCCTATACTAACTCAACACATCCAGATCTAAGCCTTCATCACTTGATTCAGCAGACCCTCAAGTTCCCGCAAAAGTTTCCAGCCACGTCTGAGAGGCAGCCGTGGGGCAGGGGCAGGTGAGGAGCGAGCTGCTGCTCCGGGCCTGGCCTCTGTTGCTCTGGTTCATTCCACAACCAGCTGCTCTGGGTCTGGTCACTGCTGCTCCCGACCTAGTTGCTCTGGACTTGGCTGTTGCTGCTCCGGGCTTGGCCACACCAGACCCAGCTGCTCCGGGCCTGGCCGCCATGGGTCTGTCTTAATGCTTTCTGTGTGCCAGGACCTAGCACAGTACCTTGTATACAGAGGAGCTTATATAATGTCTGTTATTCAATTAATTAATTAATGTATTAGAGTATGAATGGATATTGCAACACTTCGACTGATAGAAAAGTAAGTAAATACTCATTGAGTCTTAAGGAATAGGAAAGAATGTTTGGGAATAGAAGTTGTGTTCAGGAAATTTTAGATTGATTTTCCAAAGGAATGGCTTGACAAGAAATGTGAGATTAATGAGGAAAAGAAAATATGCAATTTAGGTGATAGAGTGTACCTGACTCATGATGCTCTGTGCCTTTTTAGCCTCATGTGCCCCAGCATACCTTTTTCCCTTGCAGGAACCTTTGTTAGTAGAGATGATGATGGGCCTGGGTCCCCTGTTGCTGATCTTCATGCTGAGTCTGGGTCAGACCCCACTGACCCTGGCTCAGAATGACAGCAGGTACAGACACTTTGTGGCTCAGCACCATGATGCCAATTCAAATGGCCACAATGGCAGCTACTGTGAAACCATAATGAGGAGAGGAGGCCCAACTTTACTCTGCAAAGACACCAGTCACAACATCAAGGTCATCTGTGAAGATGAGAATGGAATGCCTTACAGAAAAAAAATCAGAATAAGCAGGTTTCCTTTCCATGTCCTACTTGCAGGCATAAAGAGGGACCCCTGGCCTCCCCGCCAGTACAGAGCCACATCAGGTTCCAGAGACATAGTTGTTGCTTATGAACATGGCTTGCCCTTTGATGAGTCCTTGCACTGTCCGTAACCAGCAAGCTGCTGGCCCAGAGTTGATTCTGCTTTCCATTCCTGGCACTTCCCCACGTACTCCAAAACGGTGGTGGCCACATTCATTGTCAGGGGCCCAAAAAATGAGCTGCTTGTATATTTTGTTTTCTATTTTACAATATGTTAATAAATAAACATGTCTCTGAAATCAATAAGAATCAAAATCTTATTATTATTTTTGGCCCATTGATTATTATCCATTTTCTTTACTCAGCTGCCCTAGAGAGATGGCATGGGATACAAATGCCCTTTCCCTGTCAGTTAGTGCCTTCTCAGTCAATAGGGAGGTAGACTTCCCTTCCTGTGAGTGGAAGGATGGATGTTAAATTCATCTTACAGAGAGAGCTGGGAAATTCCAGGGCTCATGGCTGCTAAGCAAAATTTTTATGAGAGGCAAATTGTTCTTGCTGTCAAATAAGGCAATATTACTATTACAAAAGTTAAACTAAAAGGAGTAGTGTTTAAAACTGAATACAAACAGATTAATTAAACTTTCTATCTACTCTCAAACTTTCTTTTTCCTCTCTCTCTCTCTCTCTCTCTCTCCAACAGGTACACCAACACACTGACACACACACACTCCTGAATGGATACCAAAATTCACTCCTGGTACCCATTCTTGTCTTAGGCAGGAGGTAATTTTGAGTTGTATTGACAAGACTGCTCCCAGGATACTCTTGTGGTTATTTCTCATAAAGTTAAAAAATTTGATTACTTTTCATTATTTTCTCCTGTATGTTTTACTTTATCAATGGATGTCAGGCAACTGCGAGGTCTTTGGGAATTTATAGAAAGATTCCAAGCTTATCTCTTATTCTTCTTCAAGTAGATTTGTTTTCATGTAAACAGACACTCTCTTTATAAAATACTAGAGATTCAATGCTCTCCACTGCCTCTCGGCCCCACCCACCACCCACTAGTGGTTCCAGAGGTCTCATTAGCATATTAGCTATTTATTATATAGAATACTAATCAATTCACAGATTTTGTGGTTAACTTTTGGTAACCTAATTTCTATCAACAGGTGCTTAAATATTTAATTTAGAAAGTAGTTGTCAATAAATTACAATTATGAATCACTAGTTTTGCTGTCTTGTGAACATATGACTGGGCTTGTCATGGTATTCACAATGGTGCCCTCTCCTGCTGCCTACATTTCCTTGAAAAAGGCCAATAGCCTTGCATTTTCAATACTCAGGTTATAGGTCAGTGTCCAGGTGTCACCAAGGGGAGCCCAATCTCACTGAAAGCATTTAAAGTTATGCAGGAAGAATTGGGAAAGTAAATTACTATTGCACACTCAGCACATGAATCTTTCTTCCTTAACTTAATCTATTTCAACAACTTGATATCACTATAATTTCCTAAGATAGTAAGAAGAAGAGTTTTCCAAATATCTCCTACTAGAAATTTACCTTATTGTAAAATCTCAAAAACCCCTTAGAATGTGAGAAAGGTCCAGATGTTGGCAGAATATTTGGACCTTTTTCTCAGGTTTTCCAATTAATACCTTCACCCTGATATGATGCAAGATGAATTCCATAGAGATCACTGACCTACTCAAAGCTTTTATAATGCAGGCCACAATATGGACCATTATTATATTGAGTGTTCCATAGCTATGAAAACACATGTCTTCTCCAAAAATCTGCTTAGAGTATTATTATTGCATTCTCTGCTCTGGTGTTAGGGCAAATGACTGTTGCCTAGAAAATCACATGGCAATGTTTACTCACCTGCTGATGGAACTAGCAGTTGAATAGCCAATCCTAGCACTTTTTGCTCTGGGTCTCTTGTTCCCTCACAACCTAAAGCTGCATAAAATAAAATGTCTTGTGACAGGCAAGTCAGTCTGTATCTCAAGTGAATCTTTTGAGGAATTAAAGTCCTGCTCAACTGTTTTTGTTAACTTTTCAGGGAAAAGAAAACAAAAACCTAAAAATGCTCAAGCCCTTTGAAGAATGGTGATATGCAAGGAAGACAATTCCACTCAATATGCCATGGAAATTTTTCTATAGGGACACAACATAAAATCTAGTAGCTGAGATATTTCAACTTAAAAACAGCTTTCTAATTTTCAAGGGATACGTGTACTCCACAAAACAAAGGAGAAGGAAGCAATAATATGTACAAATTTGTGGAGTCATTTATTATTTTACCCAGATTGAAAGAAGCAAAGGAAACCAAGAAAAATGGAAATTGCAAAAGTGATCATTGCCAACACTTACTGAGAACTTACCATGTACCTGGCATTAGGATAAGCACTTAACATTGATTTTATAATTTATTCCACATAGCATCCCTAAGATGTAGGTATTATTATACTCACTAATGAGGAATAACGCTGAGAGAGGTTAAGTAATTTCCCCAAGATCATGTAGTTTAAGTGGCAGAGCTAGTTCTTTGGGATCACAATATCAAAAGAAGTTCTTATTGAGAATCAATGGGGTAGAGTGGGGAAAGCTTTTGGAAAGCTCTGACCAAAAAGTATGTGTTGGGATGGTTTGCGAATCAATTCATTTTCTGTTCCAGCTAGAGTCTTGAGATACACTCATTGATGGCTACATTGGACTTGTTGGCAAATATATGTTGATGGCTTATTAGATCAGTTTGTTTTTGTGGCAGAGGCTGTGGATTTGCTCTTGCATGAATAGTTTAGGTCTTTTCTGTAGCCAGTTATCTTTCTAAATCATATCTTGGACACCAAGAGGCAAGATGAGGAAAAAGTTAGACAGTACCAGGCAAAATCAGAAGTGCAAAATTAACCAGGCAAGATTAGATTTGGGGAAAATAACCAAAGTACATTGTTGTGATGAAGCTATGATCCAAGTGCTAGGTGTACCTTCAGAAATTCTATCCATTAGTCTAAGGATGAGTAATTAATCAAGCATTATTTCTCCCTGTTTCTCTTCTTCCCACAACTGTTCCCTTCTCTGTCATCCTAAGTCCATATCTCATATCTATAGCTGTAGGCACTGAAATGTGACCTAGAGCTTTCTAGCTTTTGTATACAAGCAAAATGTGGCTGTGACTATAGGAGATAGCATTTTAAAGAATGAAGTTATGTTTGAAACTGGTATGCAGATCCCTCATCAGCCATTTCAGTCACCCAGACAATGTGACCTGCCATCATGAAGCAGTATCTTTGCAAACAACGGACAGTAGTACACATATACATCAAACCAGGACTTCAGCTACAATCAGCCCATGGACTGCATATGTAGAAATGGTCCTGTATGACTCCCAAAAAACTGCCCTTTCTGTTTTGGGTTGCTCATTTCCTGTAGAGTCAGAGATTAATTTTATTTGCTCTAGTGCAGCAATTTTCATTATTATGGTACTCCATAATAATTTTTAAAATCTGTAATACCTGACTTATTAGTCAGGAGCATTGACTTTTTTCTCTTAGATTGTCAAATTAAAAAATGACAACCAACACAATAGCTGCCTGGTGTGAATGAATCAAAATTATACCTATTCATTTTGTCAGATTGACAAATGATATATTTTTTGGTGTGCTACAGAATTTAATAATTAGTTTATGTGTGCCATGAGATGAAAGAGGTTGAAAATCACTGCTCTAGTGAGTCAGCCCTGCCTCAATGCTAGGGTCAAGGAGAATCATAGTTCATGAGTTCATGCCAATTGCGGGGTGACCATCAGATGGCAGCATCTAGCTAGTTGGTGTTAGTGAGCGAGTCCCACTTCCACTCTTACCTTATTCCACCTCTGATTAAACTCTGTTGCTAGAGAAAAGCTATTCTGAACATAAATGTTTTGAATATTCTGAATATTTGGGGAGTGGAAAGAGAGAGGCAGCAGAAGATGTGGAAAAAGCACTGATTTTAGAGTCAGATAGGTCCGGGTGTCTTTCTCTAGTCCATCAACAGAAGCAATGTTCTGACACTATATGGCAATGCTTCCTTTGTTGAGTCTCTGAAGTTTTTTGTTTTGTGTTTGTGTTGCTTTTAAACTCTATTAAACATATGTTTATTTTCCACTGCCAAAAGCGCCAACAAAAGGATTCTGCAAGTAGAGACAACAGAAAACTAGCAACAGCTATTGACAAGACAGACATAGCATCAAGGATACATGTATGATGATGGAGTATATCACCAGGGTCTAGTTTTTGGTTGTGCATAGCAGCAAGGAAAAAAGACAGTCTAAGTCCTCTTTTGTGGCAATTGTGCTATTGAGATTTATTTTTTAAATTTCTTTAAAGCCATTTTGTTTCATTCATTCACTAGTTCCCTCATTTTGTTTCTTAGTTCATTCAACCAATATTTACTATCTTCAGAGCACTTTGGTGGAATAGTCTGTTTTTTACTTTTTTTAATAGGATTATCAAGATTTCCAAAAAGACTTGATATAATATCATTAAAAGAATGCCAACTGGGTGAAAAAGGTGAAGGATTTAAGAAGTACAAATAGCAGGTTTAAAAATAGCCACGAGGATGCCAAGTCAGCATAGGAAATACAGTCAATAATCCTATCTAATAAAAGAGCAATATGCAAATTTATCATACCTCCATGACAATCACAAGCAATGCCTACCAACCAATCAGAAGCAAGTATGCAAATTAACCCAAACTAGATGGCTACGGCCCCAGAGAAAGCAGGAGGCTTGGGTTTCCCCAGCAATAGATGATGCAAAGCTTTCTGCCTTCCCTGGTCTACTTTGGCCTCCCCTTAAGGCTACAAAGTTTCAATTATAGAAGATAAATAAATTCCAGATACCATGACCTCTATTTGGGTTGCCAGGAGGTATGGCTGGCCTACAAACCACCACAGGCCCCTTGCCCAGGCCTCCCCATGCCCCAAGGGAACTCCCGCCCTGATCCAGGGCACCTTTCAGGGCAAATCAGCTGGCTCTCACCCGTGCACCAGGCCTCTATCGTATTTAATCATATCTAATAAAAGAATAATATGCAATTAACCATCACTCCAACACACAAGATAGCTGCCCCTATGTGGTCAAAA